TCTCCGACTCAGTGCGTTCATATATATATATATATATATATATTTATACATATATACATATATACATGTACAATCGTTCTCACAAATAAAATCTGTACAAGAACATGGGCGCCTCCAAATGGGGCTTGTCGATGTGCACGACCTTGGACAACAACACGGGATGGTTCACCATTACATAGCATCGGTGTCGTTGATATTCTGCGATTAATCCTCCGTCCCAGTGATTAGGCTGAACTGATTTGACCCGAGCGTGCTGTTTCGAGCATCTTCTGAGTTGTTTGCAGGCGACGATTGAGTGCCCACAATGCGAAGACAGCACCTACGATACGTATGAAAGTGGGTGAGCACGACGATTTGAGTCCAGCGCATTCGCAAATACGTACCCGTGCGAAGCTACGATGAATACATTAGCAAGCTAAGTTGACCTTGTCATATGGACTATAATATGACGTAAGATACGCTTAACATACATGCGGGTATTGGGATCGGCGTCTACATAATGGACAGAGGAGTATACGACATTGCAATGTATATAGAAATATAGCTACGGCAATAGCACAAAAGGTGTCTGAGCAATATCGAGCCTTGTTTGTCTAACAGTGTAAAATTTTTAAAATACAATTCACCCTCAAACCAAATTTATGTCGAGAAACGCACGCCCAGATATCACTCCCCGCTGACCCGCTAACACACAGCTATATATAACAAACACCGCGACGGCGTGCAGGTACATACCGGATGTGAAGAAACCTGAACCCACAGTGTAGATACCGGCAGCCAGTTGGTAGATAACATTATCAGTTACACCTATGAGATAGAGGACACTAGCTACCAGCCAGAGTGACCCGCCAATCAAGTACGATATACCTGAGAACATGTCCGCTTGCTTGTTGATCCAGGGCTCATTCCCCTGTGAGTGCATATGAGATACAGTTTAGAGCCTGCGCATCACAGAAGGATGTAGAAACAAGCCATCCATAATGGATTGCAGCGCAAGTAAAATACCACGATGGATAGTTTAGCTAACATAGTCGAGTCAAGATTATGGGCGAATAAGTATAACTGGACCTAACATGCATGCATATGCATAGACCTTTGTAGATATCTCTGTTGATATAGCGCACCTGTTCATTGAGCCAAGAAAAGACAATCATCTGGATGGTCTGTGCGAACAACAGCAGCACCGATCCCCATACAAACATGTAGGCCCCAATAGTGACGCATACGGGGTCAAAGCCTGGGAGAAACAGAATGGAACCAGGCATGTACCCAGACAAGTAGCAGAAGAACCAAAGGGTTTCAGCCAAACGGTCCCATTTGTACGCCGCACTGGTGTAGTCTGTGTGACTGAAAGAGTTTAAACCGAGAGAGGCCGGTTAGCACTGCTTCAGTTGTGCCAGCATCGACTGTAGGTGTTGTTCACAATGATGACTATACACTCACATTCAAACAATTCCACAATTCCACAATTCCACACTTTCACACACACACACATATATATATATACATATACATATATATATATATATATATATATATACATATATATAAATATATAAATATATATATATATATATATATATATAAATATAAATACTTGACCAAAATTTCCTTCAGGTCATGTGAGTGTATGCTGGATAACCTGAGCGTATATGCCACCCGTCTAACAACAGATGATCGTCGAAGAACGATAGCGCGTCTCGAAAATATAAGAGATGCTCGTACAAAAACCACAGGTGTTCCGGATAATTTATGTCGGGAATACGAAACACATATTCATCCATGATTCGAAACCTTCATAGGATGCATATACAAATACACAATCGTTTATAGATACACGCACTGATGTTTTGACATGACAAAAGAAGTATATTGGTCGGCGGCAAGCCATACAACATACCGGTGCCGCAGATTGTACGCGCTCCAGGCCCAGCACACCCAGAAAGTGCTCACACCAAAGACAAAGAGATACACTCCAATGCTGATGTGATCGTACAGCTCCGGGAGAAACAAGATAGACCCTAACGTACAGCAAGGAGGGGATGAACCATGGATTATTTTGTAACATGCTTCAAGAATGCATCAACACACACACACACACACACACACACACACACACATATATATATATGTATATATATATATACATATACACACACACACACATATATATATATACACACATACACACACACACCCTCCCACACAGAGCTTGTTTCCTTGCACTTTGTGCACAATGCCCTGCTGCTGCTGAATGCGATGGGATTCAAAGATATGAGTGGACAACTGGCTGTTCAGTGGTGACTGAATAGCAGGGGGGTAGCTATAATCGGAACAGAGATGTAAGGTGCTGGGTAGGATAGGCCAGTGTGGCTAAGCAACAGAATGTCACTAGATATTAGGAATTGCAATAGAATCATAAAAGACGACGTGGTACACAAATACAAAAGTGTAGCTTGAAGTATAGGTGGTTCGGCAATACATCAGCACGAATCCTCAGCGAAGTCGGAACTACAGACAATTTGATCTATCAGGATAACTCTGGGAGTTGGTTGTACGGCTCAAGCAATAGAGAAAGCCATGAAAAGTACATACAGTTTCCCAGTGTGTATGAATACAAAAAAAACAACCGCAAAACGCGCATGTTTTGTAATCTAACAGTGGCGCCTATTTATAAACCCCAATATCGCATACCAGCAATGAAGGCCAGAGCGCCGAGAAGACACATGAAGAATGCGGCCCACCAAAGTTTTAGGTTTATGAGTGCCGATTCCAACCCCTCCACACTCTGCTTCTGCGTATCTCCAGCATACCCGCAGGTGCAGTTATCCTTGACTGATGAATCCCTGTCACTGCCTGAAGGTAAGACATATGGATTGATGATGATTGAGAGTTACACGATTGATAAGAAGGCAGACTATTAAATGCTCTATGCTAAAGTGCAGCGTCTGAGAACGGATTAATACAAACATATCACCCCCATA